GACTTTGTACCACTTTACTTAAGTCTCCTGATTTATATCCTGCTTTCCCTGATTTATTTGCATCAGTATAGAATGTGAGGACTCCAGAAATTGGCTTTTGTCATACAATGTGAGGAAGGACCCATTCGGTCTTCTTTATGAATTCTATTCTCTTGCTTTTGGGATAGTGGTTGTTAATCTCTCCCAAAAAGTTACTGCAGGCTCTCTGCCAGTATTCATTATCTTTCCATAGTGATGAAGTTTCTTCATTAGTTAAAGGTACTACAATTTCTGCTGGGTCCATTCCTGTCAACTGGTGAAGTCTTAGTTTACCTTTTTGAATCAAATCAGAGATCTTTTCTATATAAGTCTTTAATTTCTTATTTGGTTTACATGGTAGGAATATCCATTCCAATATAATATCTTCCCTCTGCATCAAAATACCTGTTGGGGAATGTCTGGAGGGGAATATGACAAGAATGCATTTAAGTTCTGGATCCACACGATCCACATGTGCTTCTCGAATTGTCTTTTCTACTAGAGCCAATTCCTTCTCAGCTTCAGCTGATAATTCTCTTGGACTATTTAATTCTTTGTCCCCTTCTAGAGTATTAGCCAAATTTTGTAGTCCATCTTTGGGTATTCCCATGATACCCAGTAAGTTGAAAATGCTTCCTAATAACTTTTGAAAATCATTAAGTGTCTTCAATAGATCTCTCCTTAGTTGTACCTTTTGGGGTCCAATTTTTTGTAGCTCTATCTTATATCCTAAGTAATTAATAGAATCTCCTCTTTGTATTTTTTCAGGAGCAATTTGCAGTCCCCAGCGAGGCAAAACTTTTTTTACTTCTTCAAACATGTTTTCTAATGTATCTAATTTTGGATCAGCTAATAGGATATCATCCATATATTGATAAATTATAGATTGTGGAAACTTTACACGAATTATCTCCAATGGTTTCTGCACAAAGTATTGGCACAAAGTAGGGCTGTTTAACATTCCCTGTGGGAGGACCTTCCATTGATATCTCTTGACTGGCTGAGAATTGTTATAATTAGGTACTGTGAAGGCAAATTTTTCTCTATCATTTTCTTGTAAGGGTATGGTAAAGAAACAGTCTTTTAAGTCAATAACTATTATATGCCATTCTTTAGGTAGCAGAGAGGGCAAGGGCATCCCAGGCTGTAGGGAGCCCATTGGCTGAATTACTTTATTAATAGCTCTCAGATCTGTCAGCATTCTCCAATTACCAGACTTTTTTTTAAATAACAAATACAGGAGAATTCCAAGGGCTGGTAGATTCTTTAATGTGTTGAGCATTTAACTGCTCTTGAACCAGCTGTTCTAAAGCTTGTAGCTTGTCTTTTGTCCAACCCATACAGGTTTATTAGTTAGCCTTTTTAAAGGTAAGGCAGTTGGTACTTCTGAAAGTTCAACAGCAGTCGTGCTCTGTTTGTGAACAGCCTGAATGGTTGGTGACTGATTTTTATAGCATGTCATGATATTGTTCCTAGAAACATGCATTGATCTGTATTCCTTTTCTGAAAGTGTAGGAATTTTAATCTGGGTATTCCACTGTTGTAACAGATCTCGGCCCCAAAGATTTACTGCTACATTTGCTACATATGGCTTCAGCCTTCCTCTCTGTCCTTCTGGCCCTATGCATTCAACCCATCTCGAACTCTGTTTTATCTGAGATAGGGTGCCAATCCCTAAAAGTTGGACATCTACCTCTTGAGGAGGCCAATTTGGATGCCATGATTTTGGCGTAATTATAGTCACATCTGCACCTGTGTCCACCAGGCCTTCCAGAACCAGGCCATTAATTCGAATCCTAAGCTTTGGTCTTTGTTCATTTACGGAAGTCTGCCAAATTATTTGTTTTATAGTGTTCTTTGTAAACTGTGATCCACCTATCAGAGCTGTTTTATCATCCATTGCAGTATCGGTTTTTACATTAGGCGTTGGTTTATTCAGTTGTCCTGGAGAGGAATTTCTTCCACAGTGGCTGGGAATGTTCATACTACATTTGATTTGGGGGCCTGCAAGAGGCCCCCTGAGGCGTTTCCTGCCAGTAAAGGGTTGCCTCGTATATCTATTTTTGATCTGCACTTACTGGTCCAATGTCGGCCTTTGCCACACCTTCTACATAATCCGGGAGGTGGTTGGGGTCTCCTGGTTAGGCTATTCCTAAAAGGAGTATTACTTCTAGGAGTACCCCATGTACAGTTTTTACTTATATGACCTGGTGTACCACATTTAAAACATTTGGTAAACCGGGGCCTTCTTTCACCTCTGGGATTTGTCTCTCCTATCCAAGCCTCATTACTGTAGTTACGAGACTCAACACCATTAGTATACTGAATCCATTCTTCCAAAGGAGCTGATCTGACCTTTAATGGTGTAAGTATTCTTCTGCATTCTGCATTAGTGTTGTTGAATGCCAAGGACTCAGTTAATACTTTTAATTCTTTATCTGATACAGCTTTTGTTACAGCTGTGTTCAGCCTTTGTAAAAAATCAGTGAAGGGTTCATGAGGTCCCTGAAATATCTTTGTGTATACCTCAGTTGGTTTTCCAGGTTCTGGAATTTTTTCCCAAGCATTTAGAGCTGCTGTACGGCATAGGGATATTGTATGCTCATCATAAGTGGCTTGTACATTCCTGTCGGCGAAACATCCCTCACCAAGTATTTGATCTTGGGAGATCACAAAACCTCTGATTTTACCTTGTTGTTCTAAATTTTTTGCCTCTTCTCTCAACCAGCTTTTCCACTGTAGCTGCTGGCTATATTCTAGAACAGCTGAAATTAACTGATGCCAGTCATCTGGGATGATTCTGTGTGAGGTAGACCACGAGTTTAACATCTGTCTTATGTATGTGGAGTGTATCCCATAGGTAGCTACTGCTTCCTTTATATTTTTAAAGTCCCTTGTTGAAATTGGTTGTAATGTATATGTATTATATGGCTCGGGGTGTGTGTCATCTGCTGGCTTCTCATGGATGATAACAGGATAAGCCATTGTGTGAGAGCCATTTGGAGATGTTGCAACCTCTATGGTCTTGCCCTTCTGCTTATTAGGTCCCTTGTCATGTTTACTGAGAGTTTCTTCTAAGGCCTGCAAACGAGCACCTAGGGTCTGTTCTAGGGAGTGAACCTCCTCTCTGGCAAGGGACTCCAGATTTCTCATGGAATCATAGAAGTTTTTATGTTCCTCAGAAACACATGATTCCATGGACCTTATCTTATCAATTAATGATAATCTTTCTTCCTTATATAGTGTCTGGAGAGTTAGTGTTCTGTCCATTAAATATTAACATTTATTATCAATAAGATCAACTTTTGGTACAAGCCTGTTTTGTAAATCCTGATCAGCAGATCCCAGTGAAAGAATCTTTTTCTGTACGCTTTCATTGCTATCTCTTAAAGCAGATTCCAGAGAAAGAATCTTTTTCTGTAAGCCTTCATTGCTCTCTTTTAAAGCAGATTCCAGAGAGAATCTTTTTCTGTAAGCCTTCATTGCTATCTTTGAAAGCCTGTAAATCCTGGCTAGCAGATTCCAGAGAGAGAATCTTTTTCTGTACGCTTTCATTGCTATCTCTTAAAGCAGATTCCAGAGAAAGAATCTTTTTCTGTAAACCTTCATTGCTATTTTTTAAATCCTGTATCAGTCCCAATAATGACTCATCTATGTTCTTGTTATTAAACCAGTGTTTGAACACTGTGTGAATTATTACGATGAATGCCAAAATGGTACAGGCCAGATATGACTTAGGAAGGTCATATATTTCCAGGAAGATGTCATTCATCATACAGGCAAAAAGGTTTTCAAATTCTTGTGAGGTAATGTTGTCAGCCATATTACAAGAATTACTCAAAATTTGTTAGTTAATTTTAAGGTGTAAAATTATCAAGTACTTTTACTTGGTTTTCGAGGGTGTAGTAGCACTTTTCAGCCAGCAGGTGGCGTTGGTACAGCTCCAAAGCAGGGCCTGCTGGTGATCTTGGCCGACTGCAGCTCGCTGGAGTCAAGATGGTGGGAACCAGAGCCGGTGCCGGCACTCAGGAAGCCGGGGAGTGCCTCTTTCGCTGGTCTCGGGGCTAAGCTAGGGAGCTGAGACCGGACTAGCTGCTCCCTCTTTAGGGAATGGAATCGTGTAGGCTTTCCCTGGTTATATGGAACTTTGCAGGCGGGTTTAGGTACCTGCTAGCCGGGGAGGAGGCTGAGGGTGGGAGTCACCCAGGCCTTTGGAATTTGCCCCACATGAGCGCCAGATATTGGTGAAATTATTAAGGCCACTCCACGTAGTTAAAAGGAGATTTATTTAATGGCATAACTTACAAGTTAAGGGATAGGTAGGTCTCGGGGTCTGGGGAAGGTGTATCGCAGTTCAGTGGTGTTCTCTGGAGCTCTGCTTGGCCCACCTTCACCGTCCAAGGTCCCAGAACCGAGTGCGTGCGCTGCCCATCCAGATCTCAGGTCTCCAGGCACCTCCCTTGGCCCCGCCTTGTAGGCGTGACAGTTGCTGAAAGTCTCAATGGGGGTTGGAACTTCCAGATGAAAGCTGGAATGGCTACCCACTACAGCCCTCTCCTGTATCTAGTGTTGCCTCAGCCTAATAGCTCAGGCATGAGTAGGGTGGTGAGTGTGAACAGCCAGGGTGGCCAGGACCCAAAGAGAGGCAGCTTCAAGGGGCAGAGCACCTGAAATCCTGGCCCAGCCTGGGTTGTCTCAGGTCAGGGCTGGGGTAGAAGGACGCAGACTTTGGCATTGTTCTTGGCTGTAGGTACCACGCTGGCACACCTGTTCTTGTTCTGGGGCAGTTTCCCAACTGGAATGTAACTTTCTTACCCAGGAAAATCGCGTGTCCTTAAGGCAAACAAACTCCCGTGCCCTGTCCGTAGAAACGGCAATGATAATTTGTGCAAACCTTATCGGAAACACCGCAGGAGAGACGTTCTGCGTGGCTTGGGACCGAGCACCGTCTAATGCCGCCTTCTCTGTCGTCTCCTCTTCAGATGCAGCAACCAGAGCTCAGCTCTCCGAAGCACAGCCTTTGCCTGCTAGCCAAGGGCGTGGGCCGCCTGCTCTGCTGGTGGTGGCTGGCTGAACTGATGGTCCACCTCATGTACATGCATGCCCTCTACAGCAGCATTCCCCTCCTGGAGAGCGTTTCCTGCTGGACCTTAGGTAATTGTGGGAACGGCCATCAGCAGGACCAGAAACAGCACTTAGCTTTGGAGAGACAGTGTCCTGTGGGTTTTGGGTTGCCGTGGCCTAGAGCCAACATGCTTTATTTTTTAATCTTATTCCTCTTGTGACCGAGGTTTTACATGTGTGAGCTGCGTGGTGTAATTGATGGATGGAGGGCTGTGCCATGCGAACTGAGACTCAAGGATGCGTGACCCCCTCCTTGGGCTGAACCGACCTATGGCTGGACCTACATCCTTACCCGAGGCAGCATGGCAGGAGAGGGTGGAGTTGCTGGCTGGCGCGGGAGGCTGTTCTAGGGGCTGGTGCTCTGAGACCCCATCAGGCCGCTTTCTTCCCTTTTCCTGTGAGCTTCAGAGTTGTGTAGGTTTAGGTTTGGATCCCAGCTCCCCCAGCTGATGGTGGGCAGCCTTGGGTGGTGCTTACACCTGTCTGCATACCTTCTTCTCAAAAACAAGGCTTGCCCTTGCAGAGCTACTTTGAGGGGTCAGTGAAATGGTGGCCTCACGATGCGTCCTGTAGATACAGTAGATGTGTGTGTGTCTGTGTGTGTGTGTGTGTGTGTGTGTGTAGTGTGCACATGTCCTGTAGATACAGTAGATTGTGTGTGTGTGTGTAGTGTGCACATGTCCTGTAGACACAGTAGATGGTGTGTGTGTGTGTGTATGTGCAGTGTGCACATGTCCTGTAGATATAGTAGATGGTGTGTGTGTGTGTGCAGTGTGCACATGTCCTGTAAATACAGTAGATGGTGTGTGTGTGTGTGTGCAGTGTGCACATGTCCTGTAGATACAGTAGATGGTGTGTGTGTGTGTGTGTGTGCAGTGTGCACATGTCCTGTAGATACAGTAGATAGTGTGTGTGTGTGTGTGTGTGTGTGTGTGTGTGTGTGTGTGTATGTGCACATGTCCTGTAGATACAGTAGATTGTGTGTGTGTGTGTAGTGTGCACATGTCCTGTAGACACAGTAGATGGTGTGTGTGTGTGTGTATGTGCAGTGTGCACATGTCCTGTAGATACAGTAGATGGTGTGTGTGTGTGTGTGCAGTGTGCACATGTCCTGTAGATACAGTAGATAGTGTGTGTGTGTGTGTGTGTGCAGTGTGCACATGTCCTGTAAATACAGTAGATGGTGTGTGTGTGTGTGTGTGTGTGTGTGTGTGTGCAGTGTGCACATGTCCTGTAGATACAGTAGATAGTGTGTGTGTGTGTGTGTGTGTGCAGTGTGCACATGTCCTGTAGATACAGTAGATAGTGTGTGTGTGTGTGTGTGCTGTAGTGTGCACATGTCCTGTAGATACAGTAGATGGTGTTTGTGTGTGCATGCAGTGTGCATATGTGCACATGCACATGCATTTCTCTGTTGGTCTCTTTGGCTTCTTTGCATCTTTTTCTATCTTGCAGCAAGCTGGGATGGAGGTCTTCTTTCCCCAGGACACAGTCTCCAGTTACAGGATTTGTCTGTGAGAAACCATCGTCCATTATTCCTCTGCCCGTAACAACAAAGGCCACACATGTTCTGACCTGATCTCCATCTTCTTTCTCATTTGTCCTGCTTGGTTCCTTTGGGGAACTCCTTCATTGGCCTGCTGTCTGACTTCCAGCCTGTAGGAGTGTGTGTGTGCACGTGTGCATGTGTGTGTATGTGTGTGTGCATGTGTCTTTGTGTGTGTGCATGTGTCTTTGTGTGTGTGTGTGTGTGTGTGTGTGTGTGTGTGTGTGTGTGTGTGTGTGTGTTACTCCAGGCAGATTAAGCTTCTGAAGCCAAGTGTATAAGCCTGTCTCCTTATATGGTGGGTGATTTATAGATTTTTCGGAATCTCGATTGTCCTTGTTGTCACATGTGCTTAATCAGAATGTGACAGGTGCCTCCCAGGACCCAGAAAATGCTGAGTTGTTGTAATAATAGTCTTCTCTTTCTGAGTAGATCTAAAACCCCAAATGACCTTTGTGCAGATCCTAACAGCATTTTCTTGGTCATGGGGGATTCTTAAGAACGGTTTTTGTCAATGTGTCCCTGTTGCACAAATCCACAAAGCACAGTGTGATATTTCAGCACATGCTCACGGTGTACCACCGATGAAGCCAGGGTGCTTGTCTCCATGTTCCAGGCTCCCCTTGCCTACATATGTTTGTAGCTGGAGGTCACTAATACTGTTAAGTTTTAATGATAGAGACAGACAGGATAAGACTGACGGTCTGCAGAGGCGGATCCCTGTGCTGAGCCTGCATCAGCTAAGGTATGAACGGTGGAAAACACCTCAAAATGGGGCTTAACTAGCAAAGACGAGTCATCACATGTGCCAGTCACACCTGAGAGCAGCGGAGGGGGGGGGGGAGTAGACATGGTGCCACACTGGTCACTGTGAATCTGGTCAGCCGGTGAGTCTCCTTACCTGGCGCAAGAATTGACTAGAATTTCAGAAGTGCTTTGTGCCCGAACCCATTGACTTCTCCTAGCTTGTGTGTGTGTGTGTGCATGCGTGTGTGTGTGTGTGTGTGTGTGTGTGTGTGTGTGTGTGTGTGTGTGTGTGTATCATTCTCTTTCATGGTACTTGGACCACAGTTAAGTCCCAGCAATTGTATATTTTAAAACTCTCTAGTGCTCTGGGATGTGACCTTTTGGCTTGGCGATGTTTCCCAGACACATCCATGCTGATACACTGTAGCAGCTACTTTTCTGTAGCTGTGATAAAACACAGTGACCCAAGGCAGCTTATAGACAAAAGAGTTTATTTTGGTGTATGGTTTCTGAGGGATCCTTTGTGTTAAGGAGGCATGGCAGTGATTGACAGGGACGGAGGAAGGAACAGGCAACCAAGAACTCAGATCTTGACTGTAAGTACAGAGCAGAGAGAGTGAACAGGAAGGGGGCGAGGCCATACACTCTTAAAGCCCACCCCCAGTGACATACTTCCTCCAGCAAGTATGCATCTCCTCAACTTCCCCAAACAGCATCACCAATGAGGACCAGGTGTTCAAATTCGAGACATGTTATGGTACATCACCTGTTTTTGCTGGTGGACATCTTTCCAGTGAGTCCAGATATCATGTGTGTCTTTTCCACAGGATGGAGGGCCCTTGAGTTTTCCCAGGCTTTGCCTGCCGTATTTGCATTTCTGAGTCTCCTGGAGCTCACATGTATGAGTCTCCCTATAGGGCAGTACTGCTGAACTCTGGCACTTGACCCACAATAAGGAAAGCACTTTGTATCACAGCTCTCTCTCTCTCCCTCTCTCTCCCTCTCTCTCTCTCTCTCTCTCTCTCTCTCTCTCTCTCTCTCTCTCTCTCTCTCTCTCTCTCTCTCTCTTTCTGTATGTGTATATGTGGAGGAAGTGAACTCTCACAAGGCAATAATCTATTTTACCGATAAGGTGTTTTGATGTTCTGTTTCACACTATTAGATGTTGGCCAGGAACCAGCCACCTGGCCGAGTTCTTCCAGTGTGTGTGAGACCCTGCTCTCATGCATGTGCCTAGACAGGGAATGGCTGGCTCTTGTGCAGTATGCAAATACTCAGACTTTCACACTAATACCAGATCAGTCTTCTGGCTGGCTAAGATACTTTTTGCTCCCCTGAACAGGGTTTGGGTTTCCACTGCTTGTATCTCATTGACACTTGGTTTTGGCTTTTAGTTTTGAAAGTCTGATGAATGTGAATTATATTTGTGGCTTCTATCAAAATGCCCGGAGCCAAATGACAGGGGACCAAAACCTCTGAAACCAGGTGCCGAATAAATCTTCCCTCCCTAAGATCTCCTGAAGTCATTCTGTTCACAATGTGCAAAGTTAAACAATGTCCTCCCCACCCACTCAAGGTCAAGTGTGTTTCACTCACATCCCTGTGGTTCAGTGTCTTGTCTGCCCTGTGACCATGTGTCCACATGAAAATCATGACAACTTTGCCTTGGAATGAAGTGTCACTATTGTGTCTTAAAAAAAAAACAAAACAAAAAAACCCAAAAAACCATGATCTCTCTGTAGCCTTGGTTGACTTGGAACTTGCTTATGTAGACCAGGCAGGCCAGGAACTCACAGCTATCCACCTGCTTCTGCTTCCTGAGTACTGGGATTAAAGGCATATACCACCACACCTGACGTATTATATCATTATTACTTAAGTAGTTTGGTCTTTACATTGAAATGAAGAATCTTACTGTCCCCCAGTGGCATCTGTGGCCCAGAGAATGACCTCATCAGCGCACTTAGGAGTGCCTCTTCTCCCAACCCTGATGCATTTCTTAGGGTTTTGGTGAGGGGATGTCTTAGAGACACATACAACACATCACTCTTTCACACCTGATAAACCCACCAGCATTCTTACTGCCTGGAATCATTCTATTACTCAACTATGATTTCCCCAAGAACATCAGACAATATGACACACACACCTGGGTGGCCGTGGTGTTGGTGTTTTCAAACACCCCCAAGACAGGCTATGCTCCCAGCTCCCACCACCACCGTATGACGTCTTGAATTACTGATACGTGCACACCTGTATTGATAGCCAAAGTTAGATTCTGTGGAGTTCTTTTCTGCATGGTTTCATTTTTATTTATGGCTGAATAGTATTCCCTTGTGTATATGTACCACATCTTCATTATCCACTCATCTGTTGAAGGGCATTTATGTTGTTTCCATTTTCTGGCTATTGTGACTAGGCCAGCTGTGAACATTTCTAAGCAAGTATCCATGGGGTATGATGTTGAGTCCCTTAGGAATATACCAAGGAGTGGTATAGTTGGGTCATATGGTAGACTTATTTTCAGTTTTTGAGGATTCTCCACACTGATTTCCAGAATGGCTGTACTAATTTGTACATCCTCCAATTGCAAAGCTTTAAGATGTAAGCCTCCCCGAACCTTAATTCTGGGAAAGCTGAGAGTTTTCACACCCCCTTCTCTCTGTCTTGAGTTTCCCCGCTCCTTGTCTCAAACCTCACTTTGCTCTGGGTACGGATTCTGCATCTGGAGGGCATT